ACGCTGCCATCACCCCTCTCACAGTAGATGGAGCCCTACACATGTGCAACGAATGTGGACAATGCTGCCGGTTCCGTATCGGACTCTGTAGTCACCTCAAAACTCACTAACCTAGGTGAGATCCACTGAGAAGGACCTAGGTGTGTATGTTGACAATGAGCTGAAGTTCTCGGGCCATTGCGAGAAGAAGGTAAATCAGGGTGTATAAGCATCTTAAGGGGCACTACTCAGTCGAGTGTCCTTACTTGGAGCTGGCGAACGCTCGCCCCACAAGGGGTCACAGCTCAAGATTGAAGAAGCCGCAGGTACAGAAAACTGAGAGCAAACTTTTTCGGAGTGAGAGTTGTGAACTCTTGGAACAATATACCAGAAAGTGTTGTGACGGCACCGAGTGTGAGCTTGTGGGGTACGAGATGTTGGTTCACACTCAGGATGGGATGGAGAAAGGAAACTCACAATGTGCTCTCTGTATACATATGGTATTGGATGTACAATGCAGCTTGGTGCTGGGAAGGCAGCATGGTTACAAGCGTTGAGTAGAGAGAGCTGGTTGGTGAGGGTGCTCAGAGGAGGACCAGCTTGTGGGTCGCCATGCTCGCCGGCAGGAGCGAGGGCCGCCAGGCAGGAGAAGGAGGAGGTGTTGCATGCTGGTTGGTGTAGGTAGAAAAGAGAGTGGTACGTCGGTACGGTACGGAGTCATTAGTTATGAGGTGAAAGAAGATTATTAGGGGTTGAAGGAAAAGTGGTGAAATTGAAATACAGTAGGAGTAGAAAGAATCTGGGCTCAACCAGATCGCTTCATCTTTCCTATTGGTGTTTTATCTTTGTTCTGCTCCCTTGGGTCGTCAGACCTTTGTATGAATATTGGTTTATTTATATAGTGCTGCTTATTATTATTATTTTTATTTATTGTTGGAGTTAGTGAGCCCGCCCAGGTCCTTGTGTAACTGGGAGGGTAGTCACTTTTTTTTATGCTAAGATGTTAGTTAAATGTTAAATGTTAGTTATGTTAGTCTAAAGGTACACTGCATGGAGAGGCCTGCCAGGTTCTTAGTGTAGCCGGTAGGTCACTCTCATCTTTTATTCTCTCTATTAGTGTTTTATGTGTATATTGGGGCAGGAGATGGTTCAATTACTTTCTTCCTGGCTGATTTAAACCAACTGTGTTCTTGGAATTCTTCGTTGTCTATATTATTTATCCAGTTTTGATATGTTTCTGTGTTAAGTTCAGTCACTTTTTTCCAAATATTTGCAGCTTTGTTGTGTATTTCTACATTGATTGCTAAGAGGTGTGCTCTCTTGTGTAGCTGTTCATTATTGATGTGGTCTGTATATTTTATGTTATATATAAATCTGAGGGCTATATTTTGTACTGTTTGTAACCTTTTAATGCTCGTTTTACTAAGAGTGTTCAATGGGATGGGTGGGTAGTCCATAATTGATTTGACAAGGGCTATATAAATCTTTTGTAATTAATGCTAAGGTTCTTAAAGCGTTTTATTTTTGATAATCTTATTCTTGCCTGTCGTTCTTTATCTTTTAAGTATGTTATATATCCTCTTTTTGTTAGTTTTAGTCCAAGCATCCTGCCTTCAGTGTCGTATGGGTATAGTTCCTGGTCGACTATTACTGGACTTGTTTTGATCTTGGCTATTGGTATTATCTTGAATTTGTTCTTATTTGTCCTGATTTTCCATTTTTTCTCAAAATCATTTCTATTTTTTATCGCTCTTACCGTGTAGAGTGCCATAAATTGGGTTGATTTTCCGGGGTATGATACTATTTGAGTAATATCATCAGCAAACATTACATATTCGCTAAAGGGGGCAGGTTGAGGTGTGTCTGAGGTATAAATTGTATATAGTGTTGGAGAAAGGCATCCTCCTTGAGGTACTCCACTCTCAAGATTAAACATAGTTCCCATAAAGTTTCCAATTTGAATTTGTGCTCTCCTATCATCTTAATAGTTACACAATATTCTTAGCAAGTGTTCGTTAAGTCCCAATTTTAATATTTTATATTTTAAGCCTAAATGCCAAACTTCAACAAAAGCCTTAGAAACGTCTGTAGGGGTATCGAGATATTAATGTTGTCTAGCACTCAGGATGGAAGAAAACTCTAATGTGGTTTTCTTGTATAATATATAAGTTATATGATAGACAGTCTGGTGCTGGAGGTGCTGTGTGGTGAGGGGCTGCTTGGTAGAGACGTGCGGTGAGTAGCTTGTCGAAGGAGGTAGATGTGCAGGAGCTTCGTTAGAGAAGATGTTGCCTGTTGCTGGCCTCCTGGTTGAATGAAATGTTAACAGCGTGGAGCTTGCTGGAAGAGATGTTGCTTGTTCAGGAAAATGGGCAGAATGAGAGTTGGTTGGTGAGGAAGCTCAGAGAAGAACATGCTCGCTGGCGGGAGCGAGGACCGCCAGGCAGGCGGAGGAGAGGCGAGGGTCGCCAGGCAGCGGCAGAGGAGGAGGTGTTGCTTGTTCAAGAAGATTGGTCAGACTGAATCTCAAGGGAGAGACAGAGCTTATATACACCCAGCAGCAGCCGCCAGTCCTCTATGAGTCATGTTGGGAAAACCCGAGAAGTAGCCGGTGACTAGTTCCGTTGCTAAGATACGGTAACATCTGGTTCGTTGCTAGGGAAGGCGGCACATTGGAATGCGATAGCAGGTGGTGAGCTGCTACGCAGTTGTAGGCAGTTGTAGGGGAGAAGTCCACTACACGTCCCTTAAAATTTATTGATCTGGTTCCCCTTGCTTTTTTCTATTGCAATTATTTCCGTTATTGTAGCTATTGCAGTTAGGGTATTTCTATTGGGCATAAATCCATGTTGTCTGTTGTTAGTTTTCCCATGTTGTGTTAAAAAGGTTATAAGTCTTGAATTTAAAATTTTTTCCAATAGTTTCCCGGTAATATCTAATAAAGATATTGGCCTGTAGTTTAATATTTCCTTATTGTCCTTACCCTCCTTGGGAATAAATATCATTTTAGCATATTTCAGTTTGTCTGGAAAGTAACCGGCTATTAAGCATGGGTTATAAATGTTTAATAGTGTTTTTAAGATGTTTTCAGGTAGCTAGGTTCATGATCATATTTCGTGTAATACCTGTGAGCCCGGGGGCTTTTTCTTAAACTTCCTCAGACAGTGCATCATTTCTCCCATGGTTATTATTTGATTATTAGGTAATAAGCTATAGTCTATATATTGCTTTGGGGTGATTCTATGTATTTCGTCTTCTATCCTTTCTTCGTGTTCACTATCAAAATCTTCATTTTCCTCATCTGATATTTTAAAAACTTTTACCCATTCCCTTGTAGGGTTTCGTGGTATAATGTTGTCTAGCACTCAGGATGGATGGAAACTCTAAGGTGGTTTTCTTGTATAATATAAGTTATATGATAGACAGTCTGGTGCTGGAGGTGCCGTGTGGTGAGGAGCTGCTCAGTAGAGACGTTCGGTGAGTAGCGTGTTGAAGGAGGTAGATGTGCAGGAGCTTCGTTAGAGAAGATGTTGCCTGTTGCTGGCCTCCTGGTTGAATGAAAGCTGGACAGCGAGGAGCTTGCTGGAGGAGGTGTTGCGTGTTCAGGAAGATGGGCCAGAATGAATCTCAATGGAGAGACAGAGCTTATATACCCAGCAGCCGTGAGTCATCTATGAGTCATGTTGGGAAAACCCGAGAAAGTCGCCGGTCTTTGGTTCCATTGCTAAGATACTGCGGCATCTGGTGACGCCCCCCCCCCCCTTGCCGCTAGTTTGTTTGCAAGGGAAGACGCAGCAGGTGGCTTGCAGCTACGCAGTTGTAGGGAGACGTCCACTACACCCTTTTGAATGCTGACTCTTGTTTATTTTCCTCGTGTAGTTTTGTTCCATTTTGGTCTTTAATGAGAGGTACGTCACCACGAGGTCAGGTCTTATATAGCGGAGGTAGGCGTGGCTTAATAGTTGACCTCCGTGATGTATGGCAGCGCTGGTTGACCTAGACCACGAGGCATACACTGGGGAATTCGCGGGGTCGGCTACTCAGCGACAAACAGCGTTTGTAGGGGAGGAATCCACTACAAGCTCTTTCAAAACCAGACTTGACCAACATTGGAGCAGGTTCAGGTACATTCAGAAGCCGGTGCATGCCCAGTTCTTGCCTACAGTGCATAAAAGAAACGTGAGCAGTCGCTTAAGCGGCTAACGAGCCGATCAGAGGATAAAAGAAAAGAAGAGTGAAGTGTTTCCTCATCTGGAGTACTGTCACCCCGTCTGGTCCCCGAGATATGTGAGTTTCCTTTCTCACCTCCATCCTTAGTGCGAGATTGTAGGGTACGGGATGTTTGGGTTCACACTCAGGATGGGATGGAGAAAGGAAACTTACAATGTACTCTCTGTATACATGTTGTATTGGATGTACAATGCAGCTTGGTGCTGGGAAGTGGCAGCGTGGTTACAAGTGTGATGTAGAGAGAGCTGGTTGGTGAGGGTGCTCAGAGGAGGACAGCTTGTGGGTCGCTATGCTCGCCGGCGGGAGCGAGGGCCGCCAGGCAGCGGCGGAGGAGGAGGAGGTGGTGTTGCTTGCTGCGGCTGTAGCTAGAAGAAGAGGGAGAGGTCACCACGAGGTCAGGTCTTGAATAGCGGGGGTAGGCGTGGCTTAGTAGTTGACCTCCGTGATGTATGGCGGCGCTGGTTGACCCAGACCACGAGGCATACACTGGGGAATTCGCGGGGTCGGCTACTCAGCGACAAACAGCGTTTGTAGGGGAGAAATCCACTAAGATCTCCTTCATGTACATATGTATGTGAGCCTAACAACGAGAAAATAGACAAACGCGAAGAGAAATTAGACAACTGGCCACATACACTACGCTACTATACCAAGGAAGAGCTATATACTGTATAATTTGCTTAACACACAACTGAAAATTTTGTGTATAATACCATCAGTTCCGAAAATGAATTTACAATCGAGCAAAACGTAAAATTATAAAAACGCTTGAATGGTTAGCAAGCTACTGAGTGGTGAGAATAATACTAAAAAAAGTTCCCGGACGTAAGTTGTGACGAAAATACTGTAGTGAGTGTCTGGCGAGCGACCAACATGTACAGGCCGGCGGGGATGAGCGACTTCTCAGAGGACGAGTCCGACGAGTTGGAGCTGGAGAGTGGTGTGGGAGAGTCGCAGTATACCAGCCACAGAGGAAGACCATTAGAAGAGATAATTGACATGACGCCCACATTATATAAGTGAGTGACATTAGACTTATCCGACAACTGTGGACGAGCCTGTACTTTGAGAATTACAGTATTTGTTAAGTGGATTATACTCAATTAACTTCCTTGTTTATTCCTACATTTGTAGTATTAGAAGAACCAGATTCTGTAACATGCACAATTCATCGTTCATTAAAAAAAAGTAAAACTAACCAGTATTATTTTAATTTATGTCATCCAGGGAATCTTAGGAATTTAACTATTAGAATCAGAAGTTTATTGACAATTCTCAGACACTTTTCTTGGTAAATATTTAGAAGTTGCCAACAGCTACTTATATATTGAGTCATTTCGGGAGAAAGAAAAACCTAAAAATAATTTTCTATAGCATTTCCGCCTGAAATTTATATTTTTCGGGTAGGTAATTACTGACAACTGACCTGCCGCCGATTTTTCATAGAAAATTATTTTTAAAATGCTGCAATTTCACTGTGGCTTATAGTGGACACTGTTGTAATTTCTGCAAATGTGTTATTTATTTTTTTTCTAAATTAAACCTAACCTAACCTTAGTTGATAAGAAAAACAAGTGGCAGAAGCATTGTTAGAACGGTCCGACTAATTACCCAAATGTAGTCGCAATTAAGTCAAATGATGGTCCTACAAGCGTAAATCGGGCTGTGAATCACTTCTCGATTATTATTTGGTGTCATAAAGTCACAAAAAATTGGAAAACTTAATTTAATCTGAGTTGTGTTAGGTTAGGTACATGCACTCGATCTATTAACTCAGATTAAATTAAGTTCACCAATTTTTTTACTTCGTGACACCAAATACTAATCGAGAAGTGATTGGCAGTCTGATTTATTCTTGTAGGACCATCATTTGACTTCATTGCGGCTACATTTGGGTAATTACTCGCTCCCTCGGTACATGCACGCGATCTATTAACTCAGATTAAATTACGTTTTCCAATTTTTTTTTTACTTTGTGACACCAAATACTAGTCAAGAAGTGATTGGCAGTCCGATTTATTCATGTAGGACCATTATTTGACTTCATTGTGGCTACATTTGGGTAATTAGTCGGACCCTTGTTAGAAGACATCACTCAACCTAAGCAAGGAAATCTACCTAACTTCCTAGCCATGGGGCTCCACCCCCCTGAACCCCTGGTACCCTGTATATTAAGCAGAAAGAACTTATTGTGATTTGGTGTAATTTTATGTTTTTTGTGGATGTAAGAGCACCCAACTGGACCAAACTGCTCATATGCATACACTGTTTATTTGCAAAAAACACTGAAGGATACTGAAAGAAACCTTGCTAGCCTTTCAGGCTTTGTCTTTCAGTTTTCTACAGGTTCCAGTATTTGTGAATAAGCTGTGAAGGATTGTATTTAACTTACTAACCTTGTAGAACTTTGTTAACAGACAAACAGTAAAAATTCACTATTTATTGGCAAAGAACACTGAAGAATAAGAAATAAAGCTATTTTAGTCTTGCAGGCATTTTTTTCTGTTTCCTACATTTGTGATTGTCTGTGAAGGGTATTATTTGACTTCCTAACCTTGATGGATGTTATTTACTAGCAAACAAACTGTAAAAATGCACTCTTTTTATGGTGCCAAAAATTCAGTAACGAAGTTTCCTGGTGCTGAAGTCTCCTGGTGCCAAAGTCCCCTGGTGTCAGAGTTTTTTGGTACCAAAGTTTCCTGTGCCAAAGTGTCTTGGTGCTGAAGTTTCCGGGTGCCGAAGTCTCCTGGTGTTGAAGTTTCCTGGTGTCAAAGTTCCTGGTGTCCTGTTGCCCAAAATTTTGTGTCAAATTTTCCAGTCCTGAAGTTTCCTAAACCAGAGTGGGGCACCACACTATAGTATTACCACACTAACCTGGCCCATAAGCTACGCCCCTCGTCTATAGCTATGAATAGCTGATTGGTTCCCCTAAGCGTTTTACTTCTCCCCAGACTGCGTGTATATAAGTGTGTATTTATATTGACCTTTTATGATAAATATTTTCAATTTTCTAACATCCTCTCTGAAGTGTTAATGCCTTGAAATCATTTGCATTTTGATAGTCCAGATATTTAACATTATTTTAGATAGTAACAGGTCTGCTTACCAATTGTAAACACATTTGTTTTTAAGTTTAAGTTTAACAAATTTATTTACAAAGCTTGGAGTACAGTTTGCCTATTCTGATAATTCAGTCAGGTCTGTGTGTTTGAATTTTCTATGAACCAATCAGCTATTAGTATAGAAGAGGGGCGTGGCTTATGGGCAAGGTTTACCGGTACGTGGAAAGGGTATAGTGTATGTGGTATTTCTTGACTCGGCCATGGCCCAGCCAATGCTAATGGGTGAGAGTTCTACACTGCCTTGTAACAATTTTTAGATGGCTCCACAAAGATGATTAGCAAATCGAAAGCATGGGAAATATAAATTGTACCTTTAAAAGATATACAGTATAACGCAAAAGTTGCGGGATATGTCTAGTGTGTTGGGACCCTCCATTACACACCTGTCATTGGTTATGTCAGTAAAGGTCAAAGGATTAAACCAATCATTGCACCACTGCAATGATTTATGCTAGACTATTGCCTTATTTGTTTCACCATCAGTCAGGACAGAAATTCAAAATCTTGTCATGCTGCCTCTTGATATCACAAATTTTTGCATTTAAAACACCATTACTGTTCAGTAAGTTTGTATGCTGAAACACCTTGTCTACTTTTTATAATACAGATCAGTATTTTAGATTTACACATCATTAAGAGTATGCTTCCTGCTCACATTGAAAGCTACACTATGTATAACTTATTTTTTTTTAAGCCATTGTTAGGATAGACTTAGATTCATTGTCTTGACCAATAATATGATGCAATAGGTGATGAGACAATGACACAGAGATTGAAGTAGATAAACTCCAAAAATCACTCTTATATCTTGGCTCATATTTGCAGTGGTGGGCACAGCTAAACAAAAAGTTAGCTTCGCTAACCACTAATCTGCTAACTAAAAAGTTCACTTAGCTAATGCTAAACAGCTAAAAAATTAGCGGAAGCTAACGCTGACCGCTAACTTTTATTATATGAATTTAGCTTCGTTTTTTTTTGGGGGGGGGGGGCTCTAAAACCCTTAAAAACAGACCTAGAGAGCTGAAATTTTCATATGTTGTATTGTAGCTTAGACATAGAGCTTTCCAAAAAGGTATAGCATGCCAAGATCGGATGATGATCAAGGTGTACACAAATAATTAAATGAACAAATGAAATTAAACATTAGTTTACATTCAAGTTTTAACATATACTTTATAATCTTTATTTGCTCTACGAAAAGGCAGAAAGTATTAAGCAAATCCAAAAACTATAGTACTGTATAGCATAGGTAGCAAATAGCATCATGCCAAGATCAGATGATGATCAACTTATCAAGGTGTACACTGTACAGTCAACCCTCACTTTACTCGGTTAATTCAACCCACAGGGTACCGCGGAAAGTGAGAAACGCGTAAAGTGAACAACATAACATATGGGATTAATTGAAATAGAGACCGGGCCGACCCCCAACTCCACTTTTTCATGACACACAACTATGTTGTAGTAAAAATTTTATCTTAACTTTATGATGGTATGCACACACAATTAATATAGAAGAGGTTAAGTTAGGAAAAATAAAGGTTAAGTTAGGAAAAATAAAGGTTAGGTTAGGTAAACTAAAAGTTAGGTTTGACACTTACGTTAGTAGAAGAGATGGGTCGGCATATAGGGATGGAGGCTGGTTCCGAGGCAGAGGGCAGGCTACTGGCCCTAAGGTGAGTCACCATCACTGTCATCCACACTTGTCAGGGCCTCCCTGACAAATCCCTCAAAGTCATCATCACTGTCTCTACCTCTGTCACTATCACTGGCTTGGGCTGGCTGTGGTGGGTTGCGGGCGAAGAACGCTGTTATGCTTTGCTGACGGCTGGTGTTTATGTTGTCGTGATAAACCTTGAAGTAGGGCTCCATAGTCTGCAACAGCTGGGTAGTGAAGATTTCATACCTGTTTGCGTCAGGGTCGTTGGAAAGGAGGAGCTTGACTTTCTCGATACACTCGATGGCACTCCTAACATTACTATGGGATAAGCGGCGTTCTTCTTGGGATGACGCACCACCTGCCTCTTTACTGACGTCATCATCATCTACCATCTCGTCAGTAGTCACATCAGGATCCCTTATCACCTCCAGGATGTCGTCGTTGGTGGTCTCAGAGAAGCCTGCAGCTGTAACACTCGGCACAGCTTCTCTGGCAAGGTCCACTGCTACTGCAACAGTCTGAACCTCACCAGTCACAGATTGACTCTGCCTAACGGCCGGAATGCCTAGCAACACATGTCTCCATGCGTGACGAACAGTTGCTACAGACAGCTGATCCCACGCCTCCACCAAGAAGTCCAGAGCTTTCTTGATGTTGAATATTCTCCAGAATTATTTTAAAAGTACTTGTTGCTCTGCCAACTGTTGATTCTCTTCGTCTTCGCTCTTGCTATCGGTGGTGGTGTCACTCAGGTTACGCAACTCTTCCCTGGTGTTGGTGTAGTCGTTCAGGAGCTTGAAATTTTTAGTAGAGAATGCAGCCTTAACGTTGCATATCAACTCCTGGTCCATAGGCTGGATTAACGACGTAGTGTTGGGAGGAAGGAAGACCACTTTTACGTTGGGGTGACGATCTAACAGTAGGGGCGAGTGTCCTGGTGCGTTGTCCAGCAGCAACAAAATCTTGAATGGCACATTCTGTTGCTCACAGAATTTCTTTACATCGGGAACGAAACAGTCATCAAACCAGGAGAGGGACAGTGTAGAGAACATCCACGCCTTACGTGCGGTCAGCCAGTGGACATTTAGCTTGGTCATGTCCATGCTCTTGTAGGCGTGCAGCTTGCGGGCTGCGTGGATCGCCGATAACTTGAGCTTACAGGTACCGGAGGCATTGGTGGTAAACAGGACGGTGATGCGCTCCTTCTGCAACTTCCAGCCCCGAATCTTGCTGGCATTCTTCACAACGAAGGTCTTGGAAGGTAGCTTTTTCCAAAAAAGACCAGATTCGTCCATGTTAAACACCTGGTCATCGGTGTACTGTCCTTCCTCCATAATCTTACGTAAAAACGGAGGAAATTCCCTAGCCGCAACACGGTCAGCACTAGCTTCTTCACCACCAATGTTGATATTGGTGATTTTGTTCCTCTTCTTAAACCTCTGTAACCACCCAGAGGAAGCATTAAAGGGTTTGGGCTCTGTAATTCCCATCTTTCGTGACACTGCAGCATACAGTTCACGTGCATACTCCTTAACAGAGTGCGTGTCCACCGCCATTTTCCGTCGCGCCTGACGCACCAAGTAGCTCACAAGTAATTTTTCCGTCTTGAGAAGCACCTGGTTGTGGAAATACTTGATCATAGAAGCACCTGTAGACTTTGTGATGTTCATGTGCTCCTTTATCTTGGCTGCATCCTTCTTTATCGTCCGGATATTAGATTCGTTCACACCATGCTGGCGCGCCAAATCAACCTGTCTTGTTCCTTTCTCCAACTCTTGGATGATCTTGTACTTCACCTCGTAGCTTAAGGAACGTCGTGTCTTCTTTGGCTTAGGGCGGCTGGGTCCAGGTAAGGAAAGGTTTCTCTCTGGGGGCGGTGGTCCGGCGGAAGCCATTTTACAGAACAATGGATGCACGATTACACGGTGTGGCCTGGAGAGATGAAACTGCCGCGGCTTGGTCAAGCGTCGTCTTTCCTCCCTCCCTCCCTCCCCCGGGTGGACACGTCATATTGCTTTAAACCAATTACAGCTAGCAGCGGAGGGAGGTAGGGATGCATGGCCAATCACAGTCATATGACGTCACTGATAACGCAACAGAAACATGCACTGCGCAACCTTACCGCGCGGCTTGCCCAGGCGGAGGCGGGAGGGGCGAATCTAAAAATAGCGTTGAGCCAGACACTCTCCGTGTAAAGGGGTACACGCACCGCGGAATGTGAGCATCCTGGGTTCCGGCAGGGTACCGTAAACGTGGAAACGCGGAATGTGGGACCGCGTAAAGTGAGGGTTGACTCTACACAATTTCACAAATACCCGAATTAATTTGCATTCTCATACAACCTATCGGCCTTATTCATTATTCATGTAAATATGCATGACCATTACAACAGACAGGAACAAAAATGTATAAATTTTGTTAGCAGACTTAAAGTTAGCGGAAGCTAATTGGTCCGCTAATGGTTTCCAAAGTTAGCGATAAAACTAATCCGCTAACGAGAAAGTTAGCTTCGCTAATTAGCGGTTAGCGGAACCATGCCCACCACTGCATATTTGATATATAAAATTGTACAGATTCTTGAGTGTTAAAGGTTCTTGAATTTTAGATTTTAGAGCTTTGAATGTAAATCCAATCTTTCACATTTATACCCAATTTCCCTCACTTCATCAGTAGCAAAGATTTTTAAAACTAATATTACTCTACTGATCCTTGTTTACTAGACAGTGATGTTTCCCATCTCTAGGAATACTTTTTACATTATTATTTAAATTTGTTATTTAAATATAGACACTGCATATGGCTGAATTAGAAGGTACCAGTATGGTAATAAACAACTTATAGAAAATTTTTACAGTACCCATGTACTGTAAATATGTAGCTTAGCTGCAGAATTGTCCTTCAGTTTTACTAAATGTGTTAAATTACATAAATTATAAGAATAGGGTAATTAAAATTTTCCTTCTTTCAGACAAGAAGAGTTTCAGGAACCTCCAGACTCAGGCTTTTCTAATGGTGATCCTACATCACAGGTTAGTTCGTTAAAATTTGTTGTGATACTGGATTTTGTGTCATTGATGAATAAAGCTTTAAAAAATACAGTACTGTATTTTTATTCTTCATATGCTGTAATAATGATTTTTTAAGACATCTAGGTAGCTCTAGATAACTGAATGCTGATGGCGATAGCACATGCTGTGCTAACCTTTGGCTGTAAAGTCAACCTTATTGTGTTGAACAAAATGTTGTTCAGGGGTACTGTTTATTTTTAGCTTTTAATTATCTCATCTGTTGTTGGTTATCTAAAGCATTATAAAATAAAATATATTGGATTGACATATTGAAAGAGGCTACTCTCTGCTTGCAAGAAATTATAGGCCTCTCTTCAATGACCTTAAAGTGGTTTTGATTAATCCTTACTTGGTCATGATGTCCAGGCTGACTTGGATTTATTAGATTTGTATTCCCAGTAATGCCTTAACAGATATGGATGATTCATATAATGCATGAACTTCTTCATACATTGTATTGGAATGTTATTGATTTTAGAAGGATCTCAGTTGGCAAGCTTAGACAATTGGGTAAGATGTCTGCCAGGCTCCATCTGAAACTCTGTGTCCCACTCAGCTGTCAAGTTAACATTCCTCAGTCCCCCATAACCCCACCCTCCTTCCTCATCATCTGCCAATGTTTCCTCTTCTTACCTGGCAGCACCTGTATTTGGGATCAGTGGGCAACTTGCAGTGGTGTTGATCAGCTCATGTCTTGAGCTTGTAACCTTAAGATTTCCATAGAATCTAATGACATTCAGCTTAACAAAGATTTATGCATACAGTGCCCAACATTAGAATATGAGGTGCCATTATAGCTGAACGTAAATTGAGGAAGATTATTCATTGTTGATGATGAGTACTATTGCTCTCAATACAATTTGAAATAGGTGCCACTTTGAAGTTTTGGAAAATACTGCATAACACTTATGAGATGTAACAAAATTTTACATAAAAATTTTTAATGTGCTTCTGAGGTTTGACTGAGAAATTACCTCCATTACATAGAGATTTGGGATGTGGCCAACTTGAAGATTAACAACTGCTGGATAGGTGTTTCTTACAAAACTTTTGTTTAAATATTTTGGGGTTACATGCTTAAGGTTTATGATAGTTATGAGAGTTTTGTTTGTGTGTGTAGCATTAACCAAACTCTGTTTTAAAATGATATACAGTAGTATCTTCCTGTTGGCAGTACTGTATATAAATGTTATTGAAAACACGAAGTGTACAGTACAGGTTGACAATCCCTTATCCGAAATCCTTGGGGCCAGAGGCATTTCGGTTTTTGGAATTTTTCGGTTTTCAGAATGGTTAGGTTTTTTTTTTTTTTTTAAATGTGTATTAGCCCACCCGGGCATAGATCACTGACCCACATTGGGGCCTGGGGGTCGAAAATATAATAAAAATTATAATAATAATAATAATAATAATAATAATTCATAGGTCTAGGTCGTGTTTCTCACTTTTGATATTTTTTTCATTCTTGTATTTCTTTACTGTATTATTATTATTTTATTATTACAGTATTATTGTTATTATTATTATTATTATTATTATATTTTATTATTATTTTTATCATTATTATTGTAATCATTATTATTTTATTTTGGTGTATTTTTATTAAAAATTTTATTTACTATGAATAATTATTATTATTATAATTATTATTACTATTACATTTTCGCCCCCCAGGCCCCGATGTGGGTCAGCAATCTGTGCCTGGGTGGGCTAATAATCCCTGTTAAAAAAAAAAAACTTTAGGTTTTTAGAGCTTTTCGGTTTTTGGAATTTCGGATAAAGGGTTGTCAACCTGTATTTCTTTCTGATAGACAGCTTCATGACTGAATAAAATCTTGTGTTGACAAACATATGAATACCATGGACTTTGAAACCATTTATGAAAATATGCACAGCCTTACCTCAGACTATAATTCTTTGGACTTGGTAAGTGTTGGTCCTTACTGTTAGAACACTGTAATCAAAGAAAATTGTACGAGGTCTGTCTGGAAAGTATCCAGCCATTTCCTATTAAAAAAAATATTGCTTACCTAGGTGTCATGGTTTTGGGGTGAATCGGTGATAGTAGGAGTGGATTATATTATATAAAGATAATAATATGTCATATTTCTTATTTCTTACCGTAGAGTCCGATACCTTCACACTGATTACTTACAGGAGATTATGGCGTATCTACGTAGAAGTTCACTCCACCACTCGACATTCCATGATTTATACTTGATAAATGATGATTTAATGAATTCATTTAATTTTCAACATCCATCTAAGTTATTGGTTATACTATGTCATAACCAATCAGTCATTACCTTTAGTAATAATAAGATAGGATCACAGATACGGGCAGATAATTGCACTTACATTTATTTGTCAAGCTTCCATACAATGATTTACAATTTGCATGGATATATGATTTACTCACGTTCACGCTGTAATAAAATTAATCTTCTAAAACAGGGAATTTTCAACTTGGGGACACATGTGGTTACTCTACTATGGGTGTGACTTAACAGAGCCTTAATTCTTCAAGTGATACATTTACTGCCAGCCTGGATTGCTTTTGTTGCAACCAGGCTTCATCACAAGAACTTCTTCCCACGGCCATAACAACAAAAAGGTACTCTTGGGTTACCACACATAGTCTCGCGTCACTGACAGTCACTGTGGACGGTTGTCGCGGCAAGTAGAACTGGTAAGCGTGACTTGAATTAACCATTAGGTGCAATAGACCAGCCTGGATTGCTTTTGTCGCAACCAGGCTTCCACACGTGATATTTCCACGGGGATAACAAACCTAGGTTAACACACTTAGTCTCGTGTCGATCACGGTCACGGTAGACGGGTGTCGTGCAGGAGAACTCTGTAAGCGTGAATTAATTAACCATTTACTGTAGGTTTGATAGGCCAGCCTGGATTGCTCTTGTCGCAACCAGGCATCCACATGTGATATTTCCACGGGGATAACAAACCTAGGTTAACACACTTGGTCTCGTGTCGACGACGGTTCACAGGACGGAGTGCGGTGGAGGACTCTGTGTGGTGTGGTGCCCCGCTCCCTTTCAGGAGGGAGAGAGTCAAGACGACTACTTCACTAACCCATGGCTCAGGGGATACTACTTAAAATGAGGTTTTTGGGTGTGAAGCGATGAACAGTACAACACTGTTTCACTGCCCACCCCCCTAAAGGCTGGCTAACATACACTAATGGAAAAATACATGTCCCAGTTATGCCTCGCCGGGCGTCTTATCTCTGGTAAAACAAACTTTGGAGTTGGTTGCGTGGGTAAGCCTAACGCAACCCATGACACTAGGACACTGGTGCCTTAGTCCCCTTCAAAGTACTCCCCTTGGGACCTCACACACTTCTCCCAGCATCCCTTCCACTTTTCAAAACAGTCTGCAAAGTCCTCTTTCGGGATCTCCATCAGCTGCCTCGTCGCATTCTCCTTAATCTCATCCAGGCCAAACAATAACGAAGGAGTACTACATCAAAGTTTTTCGCCGGCTGAGGGATGCGGTAAGAAGAAAACGACCGCAGCTGTGGGCAAGTGGCAGCTTCATCATTACAACGCGCCTTGCCCATTCTTCACGTCTCGTGCAGGGTTTTTTGGCAAAACATCGCATCACCCAGGTCTCTCGGCCCCCCTACAGCCCAGATTTGGGTCCTTGCGACTTCTGGCTTTTCTCAAAGCTAAAATCGCCATTGAAAGGGAGGAGATTTCAGACCTTGGACGAGATTAAGGAGAATGCGACGAGGCAGCTGATGGAGATCCCGAAAGAGGACTTTGCAGACTGTTTTGAAAAGTGGAAGGGATGCTGGGAGAAATGTGTGAGGTCCCAAGGGGGGTACTTTGAAGGGGACTAAGGCACCATTGTCCTAGGTAAGCAATATTTTTTTAATAGTAAATGGCTGGATACTTTCCGGACAGACCTCGTATGTTGTGTACATGATAAAGATATCTGGGAAGTTATACTATATGAGATGTTGGTCTGTTTTGAGAGTGTGAGGATGTGTGTTGCACTAAGTTGTGTGTGAAAATATTTTTAAGTGAGATAGGAGTAATTTAAGAAAAAGTTATTTGAAGGATTGATGTGTTAAGCTAAATTGAATGAAAACTTATATGGGAGTGTAAAAGGGATGTGCTTGAAAGATGTGAGGAGCTGTGGTCTGGAAACTCATGATGCACATTTCACTCAGCAACAAGTGGGTTGCATAATGATTACCAGTACCCTGTACTCGTTTTAGACTTAGCAATGATGCCACTTGTCTCCTAACTATATTTAACTTAACTTTTGTTTATAGATTTTGTTTCGTCCCCTCATATTCGAGACTATTTTCTCATCTCATTCAGAAGTTGTTATCACATATACAGTACTTAGAGAAATTGCAGATGTGCACAGGATTTTTTATTTTTGTGTTCTCATGTTTTTTCATCTCTTTTTTCCCTGTTCCCTGTCAAAGGTAACTTGTAAGTTAATTTATGTTAATCTTTTTTTATCAACAGAGTATTGGGTCACTTACATTATCAAATGAAAGCGACAAAAATGGTCTGGTTAATGAGGAATCTTTAGGGAAATATGAGAATGTTGTGAATGGGCATGGGAGCACCCTCTCTCATAGATACCATAATGGATATATGAAAGGTGAGTACAGGGGGTATTTGTATCAGATATGTTAAAGGGTAATTGTCAATGATTTTTATATAATATAGAAATGTTTTTTAGATGATTTTTTTAGGCTCTTACTTTTATCCTCTTCACCACTGATCGGCTTGTTACCTGATCAGTGGTGAAGAGGATAAAAGTAGGTAAAAATAACAGAAACCCTAAAAAAGAAATATATTCAAAAACATTTCTACATTATCATTTTATTACAATTTATGTGTCTCACCACCAACAGCATCCAGTCCAACTTCCTCTTGCAGTTCCCGCAAAAGTCACAGTCCAACACCTTTAGGGACCAGGTCATGGAGGCAAATGCGAATGCACGAAGGTTACTCACTACCTCTTGATGAATTTCGTATGGCAGCAATGCATGGAAATTTACCACTCATCCAGTCATTTGTCAAGCAAGGTACTGTATTAGAGCAGTTCATAAACATTACAAGATCATAGCTGTTTGTTATGAAATATTTGTATTACAGTACTGTATAGTCTAGAAGTGTAGTTTCTTTAAATAGCAATTAAAGTACATACCTTGAAATAAAGATCTCAAATTTTTAGTTATTATTGATGACGTTTTCATCATGCATTCAGGTATTGCTGTAGACCAGATTCTAAAGTCTGGATGGACCTGCTTGATGTATGCTTGTTCATGTGGGAAATCACAGGTGGTTCAATTTCTGCTCCACCAAAATGCAGACCCTAATCTCCACAAAGGTAAGTTACACTGTATTTACAGAGTGACATCTTGTTGGTATATACATGTAGTATTGTAGTAATAGATTATGAACTGACTTGTGAAAGAATGAATACGCACCAGAAGTGATGAAATTCTTAAAGTAGTGCATGAAAATAGATGTACTATTAGTTTTCTTGAGATCTTGAACATAAGTTATAAATCCAGTCAAGTTAGAAAGGACCTGTCAAAATGCAATTCAGTATATACTGTATGGGTATAAAAAATGAGCAAGAGAAATGATGTGGTTGCTGAGATGTTAGAGAGATACAGACTTCATGATTGTGCTGTGCAATTTGACAGTATACTGCACAGGCAATCCTTATTTGTTATGTATGGGATATTATTGTAGTTTTGTATGGACAGGGTCATGTTTTAAGTTAACCTAACTTATGGAGGTAGCATTGTTCTGACTTATGAACAGGGTCCAGGAGCATAAACCATTTATAACTCAGGGACTGCCTATTCAGGGTATTTTAATTATAGATGAATTGGTAGTACGTACTGTAGTTGCAAGGGATACTTAAAAAGATTTCAGTGCACAGTTCTAGGTATATTGTGACATATACAGTACTGTATTTAGTGTGTGATATAGGCTCCCCTTATTCATGGCATAAGGTCTTTCATAATTTTCTGTGTCTATATGTATGACACTAAATTTTGAATCTTTATTATATTGGATATCACCATGTTGTACAATTCAGCTGTTAAAATAGCACTGCCTTACTGAGAAGTTTTACCATGACAGTAACACTGTAAACTGGTATTTTATGAGGTTTCATCTTAGTTTTTGCATTAAAGTACAGTATTGTAGGGTTTTACCCTGAGACATAATGCCCTGCAGTATTCATTCATTCATTCATTTGCCGGTCCATTAAGTTCCACTCTTAAAATTATGTTAAACCTGTATTTTGGTAACCAGATGATATATAAGAATGAAGTTTACTCTGTAAGCTCACTTGTAGTGTTTTCATTCCTTTTGCAAGTTTCTATACTTCAACTCATTACTTTGGAAAAAAATGATCTAAGTTTTCTTGAATAGTTTTTTAGTATGTGTGAAGTTTGACTTACATGGCATATTTCTCTCCCACTCTTTAGTTGCATGAGGTTAACATGTATGAAGTATAGCTTTTCATATTGCACATACCAGTGTACTGCAAGTTAGGCAGACAAGTATACATTAGGATAGACTGTTGAACCAGTCTTTGAAATTTATGGACTTGACACAGCACTTGAGCTCATGAGTTTTCTCTTATATGATGTTAAAATGCTTAAGTATCACTAGAAAAGACTAGGTAATAAATTTGTAATGCAGTAACGTACACATCATTAGCTCCCACTTAGTATCTGTGTTGCAGGTTTTGTACACATGATATGCAGATTTATTACAGCCATACTCTGATAAGGAGGTACTGCTTTGTATAATAGAAGATAGCCATTTGACTATGAAGTCATTTTAATTACCAGTGGGTAATTTTATGATGAGAATCATGCAAACAGATGAAGAGCTGTATGCCATCACCAGCGCAACTATATTTTGGCTTTACTTCAAGTACAACCTGTTGAATGAGGAACCTTGCCAAACTACCATCTTAACTGACCTCAGGATGAGCATGCTATATTATAACATGATAATATGTGTGCAGTGTGATAAAATAGCAGGAAATGAACTCAGATTACATAGATATCAGTTTGTTATGTATTAAACAGTTTAGGGAAATGTTATCATTATTAACCATAAATAGTCTTGGCTCATGCTCAAGCTGAAACCTGTTGAATGGGAGTCACAAGGCCTTGTAGAGGTTAATTTTAACTTGACCTTAATCTTATACTGTAGTTGTTTTTTGTAAATGATGTCATAGTTTGTGCTTTTATTAATAAAATTTTAGTCACTACCTTTTCATTCATTTACCATTGTCACTACAGTATTAATTGTTATGTCAGTTGTACAGTGGTGCCCTCATAAACCACACTGTCATGTATAATTCCCTTAATCAATCACAGTTAAAAAGAAAAACTATCTTTTTGGCTTGTGAATTACGGTATATTATGGTAAATGCAGTACTTTTGCAGAAGTATGCTCGTTGTCATGTAGCAGGCAGCCCCTCTATGGAAAGTGGCAATTTGATAGCATTTGCACTACTTTCTCTGAAAAGTAGGATGGCAGCTTTAAAAAGAGGAAGTAAAGTAAATCCCAGACTAATGTAAAGACCAGGTGTACAGTATGCATATGGCAAACTAAGCCGACTGTTTACATCTACTCTAGATCATCAGAACTTTAGCTATGGTGTTGTTGATTTGAAAGTGGATGTAGCAATTGGATTAGCTATTACTAGTTATGTACACACACTAGACAATATGTGTAATATTTTAGCCATTTACAGTTACAGTAAGAATTAGTTCATTAGAGTTTTACCAGGTTATGTCATAATTAGTTGGAGAAATTGTAAACTAATGTCTTTTTGATGTTTTATAGTGAATTTGTGTTACCTATAGAGAATCTGTATACTGTAATGTACTGTATTGTACAACACTTGTGTAATTACTAGTAATACTTGCAGTAACATATTGTTTTAAGGGAAGAGTGCGGGTTCAGAGAAGATAGAGGATGTGTGAATCAAATGTTTGCATTAGGTAACATGGTATGTTTTAATCTGGAAAATGCACATGACTGAACTTATAGAAAAGTGATGTAGGAGATTTTGAAAATATGCATTTTGATGGGAAAGTGTTAAATTTCATTCTTTTTTATGGGTAAAGTGCAACTTGTTTTAGAGTGTGCTGGAAAGAGGAAAATTTTCCCATTGAAAGTGGGGCTACATGTAGAGTGTGTAATGTTGTCATAGCTTACTATTTACATGGACTGTGTAATTAAAAAGGTGAAAGCAAAAATACATTTATGGAGAAGGAGCAATTTGGGTAAATAAGGAGGTGCTGTACTCCTCGACTTACGACATGCTCGACTTGCGACAACCCAAACATACGACATTAGTGATCGACGTTAGTGATCGCGCTGTGTACTGACAAAATTTTCGTTTGTAATTCCCTTTAAAATGACTGGCAAGCGTAAAAGTGAGAGTTCTCGTGGTGCTGAGAAGAAAAAGAGACACCCATTTTAGAATTTTTATGTATTATTTTCGCATTTTCGACTTATGACCTGGTCGTCGGGACGGAACCCCGTCGTAAGTCGAGGAGAGACTGTATATGAGACAAATGGGAGGTGGGTTAATTGTTGTTTACAGATGATGTTACACAGAAGTTTTGAAGATTAAAGTTAATAAGTCTGGTTAAGTTAGGTGCTATTAATATAGGAAGAATATTAAATGTAAGTTAACAAGATGAAATGTTTTCCTTTTGTAATTGTTGTGTAAATTATCTTTACTAGTGTACCAGTGCTTATTGTCATAGTCAATATGACTACAAAGTTTACAAAGAACCACATACAGTACGGGTATATATATTGTCAATAATTTAAATTGTTATAAGTTATCTATCTTTAACATCAATTTCTTTTATTGCAAAGAATATTTTAAGACTTCTACTCATCTCAGAATTGTTCACTGCTCTCATGGCTGCCTGTGCTTCAAGCCGTGAATCTGAAGCTGATCTTCTTCAATGTGTGGAATTATTGCTCAGCCATGGTGCTAAAGTGGACACTGCTGAGCGACATCGCATGACTGCCCTTATGTTTGCCAGCAAAGAGGGACGATCTACTATTGTTCAGAGACTTATTGAAGCAAAAGTTGACATCAACAAACAGGACAACAAAGGGTATGTGTCATTGTATTTACAGTGGTCCCTCGGTTAACGAACGCAATTCGTTCCACAGAGTCGTTCGTTACCCGAAAATTTTGTTCACCGAATCTATTATTTCAATGGGATATTGGGTAATTGGTTCCAATTCACAAGAAAGTACATACAAAGTATAAACAAAATGCAGTACAGTACACTTACTTTGAGGTGTGTATGTAGTATGTTACTGATTGATGATGATGGGAATTAGAAGTGGGGGTGGAGGAGGAGAAGGGAGAAGAGAAGTATTTTAATGCTTCTTGGAAGGCGAGTCACCTTCCATAATAATGTCAGGAACCTCTGGACTGACAGATTCTCTAACATGAAAATCCTCTCTCCTTTTTGGAGAGGAACACTGAGGGGAATCATCTTTCTCACCCATGCTTGATGCAGTAATTTCACCAATAAAATTTTAAGTTCACTAGGTGTAATTAAAGATTATTTTATTTAAATGAACACTGCATTGTGCTATATATTATCAATATGTTAACTAAATTTTAGAGTGACCAATAATTTTAACGTAAAAACGTAAAAATACTCTGTACAGTGAAGCCTCGCTTTACGCGGTCAATTGAACCCACTGAGGCCCGCGTAAAGCGGGAAACACGTAAAGTGAACAACAGAACATCTGAGATTAATTAAAATAGAGACTGGGCCGACCCCTAAACTCCACTTTTTCCCGACACAATACGTACGTTTTAGTAAAAATAACATCTTAATTTTATGATGGTATGCAAACACATAATATAGAAGAGAACAATCAATAAGAGAATAATATACTGTAGGTTAGGTTAGAAAAAATCAAGGTTAGGTTTAACACTTACGTTAGTAGAAGAGATGGGTCGGCGTACGGGAATGGAGGCTGGTTCCGAGGCAGAGGGCAGGCTATTGGCCCTCAGGTGAGTCATCATCACTGTCATCCACACTTACCAGGGCCTCCCTGACAAATCCCTCAAAGTCACCATCACTGTCTCTGTCACTATCACAGCTAGCGGGGGAGGGAGGTAAGGATGCTTGGCCCAATCACAGTCCGATACATCATATGACGTCACCGATAACGCAACAAAGACATACACTGCGCAACCTACTCGCGCCACTTACCCAACATGGCGGGAGGTTTGAATCCAAAAATGGTGCGGCGCGAGATGACTGCCAGCCGCTCTTCGCGTAAAAGAGTACACGCACCGCATAAAGTGAGCATTCCGGGTCTGGCAGGGTACCGCATAAACGTGGAAACGCGTAAAGCTGGGTAATACTGTATTCAAGAGAACGGCAAACACGATGTTTCCTCCACTGTAAACAAAGTTAAACTGACACTTTGGCAGGTGAGTCAAGCGGCTGATGGGCGCACAAAGAACTAGTTCCCTGTACTGCAAATATTATCAATATGTTAACTAAATTTTAAAATTACTAACAATTTTAATATAAAAATGCAAAAATAATAAAGAGCACAACTTTTTTGATATTTACTCCACTGGAAACGAATGTAAACATAGAACCAATTACTGTATTGGTGGACTAGCCGATCAGCTGATGCTCACAACAAAACATGTTTGTCGTAAGGATTTCGTTAATCAAAGTTTTGTTCATTAATCGAACTGAAAATCCTTATGGGAGCTAATTCGTTAACCGAAATTTCGTTAATCGAACCGTTCGTTAACCAAGGGACCACTGTATACTGTAGTAGGTTTTTTTTTTTAATATAAAGACACTATTGGAAAATTTGTGTTTGTGTGGGGGTTACCAAGTGTTCTGGAGGTGCTCTGAAAACTGCAAATTTTTAAATACAGTACTGTAGTTAAATTTTTTACACTCAAAGAAACATTCACAGTATTCACTGTGGAATTCTTTTGTGCTGATGAAGCTGTCATAAATATACACATTGTACTTACCATGTCATATTTGGAAGGTGGCAAGTAGTGTGTATTCAGCCCACTTGAGCCTTATACATCTTTATATACATGAACATGTATTATACCACAAAAACTTGCTTAAATAAGTAAGTTTTGCAATCTTATTAATATTAAAGGAAAAGATCCTTGATGATTTGTGTCTTCCCTAGAAGAATTCCTTAACATGCAAGTGGAACACAAGGATGACACTTCTCTTCTTACATATATTTGTTGTGATAACTATGTACTATATGTGCATATGGGTGTATCAGTTAAATTTAGTGAATTGATCTAAATAAACAGTTGAATTAAGGCCTTCAGGTACCCATGAAATGCATCAAAATATATCTCATTTATCACAACCAATTTAAAGAGCACATCCCCTCTACAACTCTCCCCATTAACAATTTTCTCCTGTTTTCTTGGTACAGTACTTTTATAAAGATTTAATTTATTGGAAACCCTGTATAAAGTACAGTACAGTACTTGCCATGTGAATGGAATAACAGTGATATATATATTAAAGTTAAGTAATACTTCTCAAGCTTTTTCTTATTTCAATAGATGGACAGCTCTTTCCTGGGCAGCAACTAAGGGACATGGAAAAGTCGTGCAACTACTATTGAAGCACTTGGCTGATCCACTAAAGATGAACTGTCATGGCCAGAGAGCAGCAGACATTGCACTGGCAGCAGGCAATCCAGAGGTATGAATTAAGAGTTTGAAATTTATATCATAATTGACATACATATACTGTCCAGTAGTACTGTATATTCTTATGAAGTTTTCTTGTTTATCAGTACTGGACTGGCATACCATTCCCCATGCCACAATCTCATGCTGATTGTAATGTAGAAATAAAGTAACAAACACCTTAGATATGGTGCATCTTTATTTTACTCAGATAACATCTAACACTGACCTTTTTATCCATCTAACTCAGGACATTGTTGGATGACATTGTCAAAGTGTTTAAAGTTCCCTTCATTCCCTATTGACAGAATAATAGCTAAGGATGCTTAGAATGACACACAAGTATTGAAAGTGATTATCTGTACAGGTATATGCATTATGTAATAGCAGGAAGGCGAGTTTGAAGAAGGTATTTGGGGAAAGTTAGAAAGGACAAGTAATATCTCCGTTAGTCAGAATACCTAAAACCATGAACTCTCCGATAGCCGGAATTGAAATTTTCCGGAACATTTTGAGAAAATTTTCTTGATACCCAGAAAATTCTGGGGATGGGGAAGTGTTTTTCCAGGTTTGAGATGAAAATCAGGCGCATTTTCCGTAAATTCCAAGAAAAATTTTCTGGTACCCGGAAAATTCTGGAGATGGGAGATATTTTTCCAGGATCGAGAGATGATGTAGTGGTCAATTTCTGGAACTTCCAAGAACATTTTTATCGTTATCCAGAAAAATCTGGGATGAGGGATTTTTTCCGGCCTTGAGAGAGCTGTCTCATTCCCTGAAGTGCTCTTGTAGCGTTAGCGTTATGAGGTCTCGCACTAGGGATGGAGGTGAGAAGGGAAACTCACAATGGCGTTTTCTATATATATATATATATATATATATATATATATATATATATATATATATATATATATATATATATATATATATATATATATATATATATATATATATATATATATATATATATATATATATATATATATATATATATATATATATATATATATATATATATATATATATATATATATATATATATATCCAATGCAGTGCTAGGGAGTTGCTGTGTGGTGAGGAGCTTGTTGAGAGGAAGTCTTGTCTGTTTGAGAGCGCTGAGTAGAAACCTCTTCACGGCGAGGCTGGGGATATATATACACTAGTCCGCTGGAAGTGAACGTTGCTGCTGGTCGACCACCGCTCAGTCAGACAGCTAGGCTTCGCTGAGAAACTCGCTGCGGGATCGGCTGGTCAGCGACAGTTGTAGAGGAGAGTATCCACTACACTGCACCAATTGTTCCAGCTAACGGAGATATCACCAAATAGAAAATGTGCAAATGGAAGAGGAGTCTGTTGACTGTGTTCAACAGTCGGTATAGAAGTTACTGATAATTACTTGTAGCAAAAGGATGTGCATATAGTAATGCATTTTATGCAGTATACAGTATTTAGGGAAGAGAGAGTAGAAAGAAGTTTGATACAGGGGGTCCCTGGGTTACGAAAGGGTTCCGTACCTGAGGCCATCCTTAAGTCAGAGCACATACCCTATGTGTACTATATCATAGCCCAAGTCTTTTTATACATCTCGAATCACTTAATTTAAGAGAAAAGAAGAAATTGAATGACAAAATACAGTAATGAAAAGTATAAATTAAGGTTTAACACTTACATTGAAACCTGGGGCTGGCTTGCATGTAGAGATAGTCATTTGTAGGAGTGACAGAGGCTTTATTGGGATGGTTGAACTGGAACTTTCTTCTTTTCGCCATAAGTCTTTCTGTAGCATCGTAGATATTCAGTTATAGTACCTCTATGAATCTTGGTGAATCTTGCTGTGTTGGTACAGTGATCCCTCGGTTAACGTGCACCTCGGTTAACGAGTTACCTCCCATAAGATTCTTAACTAAAGTTAATGAATTTCTTACGAGCCGACCTCAACATGTTTTTGCTTGCACTTGGCGGTCAACCAGCTGTAGTATTAGTCCGTCAATACAGTAATCGGTTCTAGGGCTTAAATTCCTTACTATTTTAGTAAATATCAAGAAGTTTATACTATTCAATAATTTTAAAAGTTTAATATTAAATTTTTTAGTCATTTTAACAATTATGGAACATAATTCAAGGTAAAGTCACTAGTTTTATGCTGCCATCCAGCCTTTTAACACACCAAACAAGTGATAGTCTCTCTCTGTTTTCAGTGGAGGTAACATCTTGCTTGAGACTCCCTTCAACGAAATGCTTTTTTCATGTGTTTCCAAGCAAATTAATGTCATTTTGAAATTTATTTTACATATTGACAATATATAGTGCAGGGCAGTGTTATTTTAAAGAAAATATTCTTTATTTACAGCTAGTTTAACTTTAAAAAACACGTGTTGACATTGTTTGAATCCAGCATGGGGCCTAAGAGATCAAGAAAAGCGATTTCAATCCAAACCAAGCAGGAAATTATAAAAAAACATGAACAAGGCATTAGAACAAATGCGCTATGCAAAGAATATGGCATGTCCACAATTCTTGCACAGAAAGACAAATTTAAAGAAGTGAAAGTGAGAGACAAATCTACCAGAGTGTTTAAAAGTAGATCCCTAATTGCAGAAACTGACAGGTTACTTCTCATCTGGATTAGGGAAAAACAGATGAAAGTTGATTCAGTTTCTACTGAATTCATTTGTGAAAGAGCCAGGGAGATTTACGAACATTTAAAGACAGATCAACCTGGTTCTTCAGGCACAAAATTTGAAGATTTTCGGGCCAGCAAAGGCTGGTTCGAAAAATTTAAGAAAAGAAGTGACATTTTCAGTGTTAGGCATGGTGAAGCTGCTAGTGCTGATAAGGAAGGGGCAGCAAAGTTTTTAGTGGAATTTGAAAAACTGATGGAAGAAGAAAATTATCTTCCACAGCAAGTGTTCAATGTGGACAAAACTGGGCTGTTTGGAAAAAGATGCCCAAAAGAACATTCATCACCAGAGATGAAGCCTCTTTACCTGGGCATAAACCCATGAAAGGCCGTCTCACTCTATTGCTTGGTGCCAATGCTTCAGGGGATTTCCGACTGAAGCCTATGCTTGTCTACCACTCTGAAAACCCCAGGGTGTTCAAGCAACAGAAAGTGGTAAGAACAAAGCTTGGAGTTTATTGGAAGTCCAACCGTAAGGCATGGGTGACAAGACAGCTCTTTAATGAATGGGATGTTGATGTGTTTTGCCCTTCTGTCAAGAGCTACCTAACCACCAATAAACTCCCTTTAAAGGCTCTTCTCCTCATGGATAATGCTCCTGGTCATGACCCTGAACTTGCCAGAACTTTGGAGTATCAATTTGACTTTGTGAAAGTGTTGTTTTTGCTTCCAAACACTACATCAATCATACAGCCAATGAACCAGAATATGATCAGCAACTTCAAGAAGTTGTACATGAAGAAAATGTTTTGGTGTCATCAGGCAACTTCCAATGATCCTGAACTAACACTGAAACGGTTCTGGAAGACACAATTCAACATCCTGGAGGCTGTAAAATTGATTGTGTCATCATGGCAAGAAGTCTCCACTAGATCCCTCAATTCTTCATGGAAAGCACTGTGGCCATCAGAGTTGGACCAGGAGATTGTGTCCATTGGTCAGTCATTGGGCCTTGAAGTGGAAGAGGATGATGTCGAAGAGCTTGTGATGTCTCATGAGGAGGAACTTACTCCTGATGACTTGAAGCAACTGGATGAGATGTTAGAGGCTGATAGTGGTGAGGAAGAAATTGAAAGTGATGACCATATGTCAACTAAAGAGTTGAAAGATGTGATTTACCACTGGGAGAAGTTCAAGGAACTGGCTTCAAAGCACCCAGATGTGGAAAAACTGAACTAACTTTGTGTTATGTTGAGGATTCAATGGTCTCCTTCTTTAAACATAAGTTAATGGTGAGGAGGAGAGGTGCCCCACAGACCACAATTGACACTTTCTTCAGTAAAAGGCAGAGGGAACAAGATGCTATCCCTCAGCCTTCCACTTCAAGAAGGAGAGAGGATGATGCTAGCCCTCAGCCTTCCACTTCAAGAAGGAGAGAGGATGTTCATGGTGGAGAAAATGTCAGTCCAGAGGTTCCTGACTCACCTTCCAAGAAGCAGTAAAATGCTTCTCCTCCACTTCCTTCTCTTCTCCCTTCTCCTTCTCCACCCCCCACTTCAAATTCACATCAGCATCATCATCCAGGAGCCTTCTACATACACACCTCAAGGTAAGTGTCAATTTCTAACTTTTTTGTTGAATTTAGGCAATTTTCGGTGAGCTGGAACCAATTACCCAAAAACCCATTGAAACAATGGTTTCGGTTAACGAGATTTTCGGTTAACGAGCAACTTGCTGGAACGGATTGTGCTCGTTAACCGAGGGACCGCTGTATCTTGCTGTTTAAATTTAAACAATCCTTCTTCAGTAAGACTGAAACCAACTGCCATTTCTTTTGTAATGAATCCCTTTGGCTCTGGAGTTTCAACGTCCTCTACATCCTTGGACAAAATCTGCTTCTCCAGTTTAATCAGGTCCTCATTGCTTAATTCTTCAGCATGAGACTCAAGCAAGTGTGTGACATTATCCTCATGAATATCAAGATGGAGTTGGTTCCCAAGGTCTACCACTGTTTATGTCACTTCCCCAACATCATTTTCAGGGCCCCTGAAATCATGGACAAACTGTGGGCAGTGTTTTTACCAAACACCATTTGCCCTTACCTTGAACCTGTTAAACCAGCTCCTACAAGCAACAAAATCTTCCCCATCCCTTTCACCACCACGTTTAGCCTTCAAGTCAGCATGGAAGCTTCTTGCTTTTTCAGAATCAAGGCTAGACTTAGAGGCAAATCCCGTTGATTTTGATCTTCCACCCATATTACTAACAATCTTTCCGTTTCAATTAACACTGCACTTCTCGGTTTTGTTATTACAGTTGAGTGCATTTACATATTCAAGAATTTTCTGTCTTTCAAAATTGTTCCAACCGTTGAATGACTGAAACTCAACGCCTTACCAATCACTGAGGGTGTTTCGCCTTCCATTGTAATTGTTTTCCTTTTCTTGGATGCACTACTATCACTTGCATCAGATTTGCTTTTGGGAGCCATGATGAGGGCCGAAAAATAGAGTTAATAAACAAAAAACAATAGTTTGCACTTGATCACACACATTTAGGCGATGAGGGTAAAGCGCACTGACACTCCTGCTCTCTCAAGGTGGGTGACTGGGTGTGATGCATCACTCCCCACACTCCATACAAACTAGTTCTTGTACGTAACTGCTACGGACCATTGTACTTATGTTGGATTTTTAAAATAATTTACCTTATGGGACCTTGTTCGTATCGGCGTGCATTCGTAAGTCGGACGTTCTAAAGTCGGGACCCCCTGTTGACTATTTTTAGTTAAAACAGGAAAATGGGAGGTTTGATTGGATGCTTAACTAATCAAATGATATTTTAGTAATGTGCAGACTGAAAGATTATGTAAGGTGGACAGTAACTGGAAAGATCGATGAAAAATAAATAATAAAGTGGAGCGAGATGAAAGGACTTTCAAAGTTAGTCATTTTTATTTTCGACCTTCAGTTTTGATCATCTATTAATTTCAGATTGCAGACATACTAGAACGTGTGACTACTGGTGGTGCTAACCATTTGACTATTGATAGCAGTTCTGAAAAAGTTTATCCTAAATGCTCCTCTGACATCAAGACAACACACCTGTTTGGGGAACTTGAGATGGTGTTAGCAGGCCTTGATTTATCTTATATGATTCCTCTGTTTCAGAAACACCAGGTAAGGCCAGTTTTAGTAGTTTTTTACAGGTTTATGCTCTAAAATGTATTTGTTTACTGATGATTGGATTTTCTTTAATAGTGTGCATTGTCTCTGAAAATTAAAGTTGAAGAAATTAAAATTCTGTGGTCATTAGAGGAGCAAGTTACATTCTAAACTTGAGTGATAAATCTTTATCCGGGAAAAACTGAAGTTAACACACTGGCCAGATATCTCCAAGTGTATAAGTGGTGACAAAATTTTGTGAAGGTTAGAAGAGTCAGGCATGTGTAGCCTCTGACTGCTCTTTGTAAATAGTAATCAAAGTTTACCTTCTTCACATGTTCCAAGTTTCATTCTTGAACAACAAATGCTGCATATTTATACCCAAGTACTGTAAACTGTACCTTGTATAAGAGTGACTGATTAAATCCCAGGGCACTCCCAGTCCACCCAAATGTAAATGGGTACTGGACTTTATAGTGTTGTTGGGAAAGTGAAGGCAGTTGAGTGCAGTGCTGGCCATGCTGCCTTCTTGCAAATTGCAGGTTTAGTATACTGTGTACTGTATTCACATTATTCCTAATGGCTAGTCATGTCTATGGGACCTATTTCACATTTATTATAGTGTTTTTTAACATCTGCAGTGCAGTATATTACTATACAGTACATGTATTGACCGTCAGATTATACATTATCTATAAAGTGAATTGATATTAAAGACATAACTGATAAAAAACAATTGTAATTACCATAATGCAGATACTGTACAGGTTGTACCTCTCTAGTCCGGCAACCTCGGGACCTGACCGGTGCCGGACCATGGAAATTCACCCTTTTCCTGGATAGATAGTGTCTTGTGCTTATGCTTGGAAGCACTAGCACCACTTTCTCTGCATCATGGTCTCTTTGAAGACATATTGAAGGGTTAAATGTTGTATAGTAGCTAATCAAATTTCGCGAGATTTTAATTCAACGTATTTTATTGGAACACACAAAAAATAAAATAAAAAATTTGACGGCGGAAACTTGAATTTCGACGGGTTTGAACGGCCTGCCAGTGTGCAGACGATGTGCATAATAGTGTAAACAGCGTTATTTCTCTTATGTACAAAAGATTCATTATTGTTTATTACTGAATGTCTTTTTTATTGAATTAATGTTTGTGTGCAAAATGAGCAATACAATTCATTAATAATACGTAGAATATTAAAACACCCGAGGAAATGACACAGCATTGTTTTCGTTGATCACAAAACCAGTGACTGAGTGGTTCTACATATAAAACCAGAAAATATGACCCTGGTTGTAGCTGTAGTCAAATTAATGTAAAAAATTAATATGGTTGTTTTAAGTAATGTTATTTAATGTTAATAAATAGAACAATAAAAGTAGCTAACCATTAATGTTAAAGAAAAACAATGAGACTGCGCGTATGTAAGTGCGCACATGTGAAAAACATATCGTCATTACTCTACATAAGAATATGAAAGCAACACTTATTTACTGCTTTATCTGTGTTATTTTCGTTGGTTTATTAGGATGTTGCTTTATTAGAGGTAGTAATCCGCCAAAAAAGTAAGGTAAATAAGGCAAAATTCACCCTCGAAACACCCTACATAAAGCATAAAAACATAAGATAGGAAATAGTAAATAAGAATACAGGGTACTATTTCATTAACCTTTAATGCTTCCAAAATTCTGCTTCCAAAGTGAAGTGATGGTACAGTACTGACTCCAGTTACATTTGAGTTACATCAGGGATGTTGGCTGTGGTGTCAGAGGTCGTGACTGTGGTGACATCAGGTACATCGGGGGCAGAGGAAGTGCTGGCAAGTGGATTTGCTATGCGAGAGTGCTCTTCACTGTTTTTGTTGGCTATCTTCTTGAACCACTCTTGCAAAGTTGCTTGCTTCATGTACTTAGGTTTCTCTTTATTCAATTTAGATTGAATCACATAGACAGCCATGATTTCTTGCTCCGTAATAAAACTCTTTTGTTCTAGTCCCGTGATTAATTCTGTGCACAGCTGGATGCACCTGTCAATAGAAATTCTTTCTTTGATATCCTCTTCCTCCTCGTCGCTTGCTTCATCATCTTCCTCCTCTCTTTTCTTAACCATTTCCACAATCTCTTCATCAGAGAGTTGATACACAATAGGGGCATCTTTGTCAACATCCATCCACTCTTCCAGCTGCTCTTCACTCAGTTTATTGGCCACTTCAACACACACAGGGTTTGTCATACTCAAGCAACTCACGAATAACTTGCTTTTCTTTTGACACATGAAATCCAGCAAAGTCTTGGTCCACATCTGCACTCTCCTCAAACATTAAGGCTGGCCACAGATTATACCATCCATTCTTCAAAGTTGATGGAGTCACCTTATCCCAGGCATAGGCAAGTGTCCAAATAACATCCTTTAGGTTAACCTTTTTCATGAATGCTGAAACATGCTTCCCATTATTCACTGCAGCGAGCAAATGGCGCATGAAAGCGGCTCTATACTTACACTTAAGTGAGCGTAATATGCCCTGATCACAAGGCTGAATCAGAGATGTACAATTTGGGGGTAAAAATAGTCCAACCACATTGTCTTTCACTAAAAGTTCAGCCTTAGGGTGGGCAGAACAATTGTCCAGAATCAACACTATTTTACACTTTGGATCTAGGCCTACTGAGGTGCAGTGTGCTCTAGCCTCATGCACAAAATACCTTTCAAACCACTCTAGGCATAGTTTTGTAGTTATCCACCCCCTCTTGTTACCATGGTAGATAACTGGAAAAATTTTCACACCTTTAAATGCCCGTGGGTTGACACTTTTCCCAATTACCATTAGCTTACACCGGTGAGTGCCTGCTGCGTTGCTACAATCAAGGACCGTAACCCTATCCTTCGAGTCCTTACCACCTGTTGGTGCCTCCTCACTCTGTAGCTAGCGTTTTTCTAGGCATACAATGCCAATATAGAGCAGTCTCACCAGCGTTATACACTTGTTCTGGGGACGACTTCTCCTTTGCCACAAACTGTGCGAATTCGTCCACATACTTGGCAGCTGCTTCACTGTCTGCACCTCGCTTTTCACCACACACATAATGTAAAGAAATACCATGCCTATTTTTAAACTTGTGTAACCATCCTTGTGAATAATCACAGGCATGCTGAAGGTTTAGTTGTTCATGAAAGATCTTTGCTTGCTCCACAATCATCTCACCTGAAATGCTTACTCCATCATTACACCGAAGCTTAAACCACTGTAATAAAGCACTGTCTAACTCACTACTTTTGCCTTCTTTCAATGTCTTACGAGTTATCATAACTTTCTTGGTCTCACTGTCTGCAAAAAACTTAAATATCTTGTCCTTCTGCTTCTTTATGTCATAGATCGTGGATGACCCAACATCGTACTTCTCACACAAGTTGCGTACCGAAGCACCTTTATCTAATTTCTGCAATAGTTCAACCTTTTCCTGGATAGATAGTGACTTGTGCTTACGCTTGGAAGCACTAGCACCACTATCACTGCTTCGTGGTTTCTTTGAAGACATATTGAAGGATTAAATGTTGTACTCTGTATAGACAAACAGAGAGAGAGAGAGAGCCGAACTGCCGGATGTAAACAAACCCTAATTTCCCGCGCCTTTGTTGTTGTTTTTTTACGGGGGATTAGCCCACCCAGGCACAGGCCACTGACTCACATTGGAGCCTGAGGGGCAAAAATGTAATACTTCTGTAATAATAATAATAATTCAGAAAAAAAAAATTGCCTATCTACCTATTGGGCAAACTAAAATCGTGCCGGACCACGGGAGTTTCCGGACCAAAGAATGCCGGACTAGAGAGGTACAACCTGTATTACTGAATGCACTGTATTTAGGTTTAATCATTTATACTGTACACTATTTTTTTTTTTACCTTTATATATATTTCCTGTTAACTTCCTTTTTATCTTTTTAAGGTGTTCTTTGTAATTTTTAACTCGTTTTTGCTAAGAGTTTGCAACTTTTTACTTTTTGCATACTTATTACATTTCCTATATTTAAAGGTGTCATTTGAATCATTCCTACGCCTGTCGGAGAAAGACCTTGAAAATATGAATGTGACAGCTGTAGGAGTACGTAAGAAGATTTTGCATGCAATAAAAGAAATAAACAAAAAAGAGTGGCAGACCTCAAGTCTGCCAAATGTGGCAATGAATACAGATATTACGTAAGTTAAATCACTGCACGTTTCTATCAGTATACCATTCAGAGCACAATGACATTTTCATTTTACAGTTAACCCTCACTTTACGCGGTTAATGTAACCCGGAGGGTACCGCGGAAAGTGAGAAACGCGTAAAGTGAATAACATAACATATGGGATTAATTGAAATGGAGTCTGGGCCGATCCCCAAACTCCACTTTTTGACGACACACAACTATGTTGTAGTAAAAATATTATCTTAACTTTATGATGGTATGCACACACAATTAATAATTAAGAGAAATATCAATAATATTAGGTTTTTTAACACTTACATTAGTAGAAAAAATGTTTGGGCACACGGGGATGGGCGGTTGGTTCCGAGGCAGAGGGCAGATTATTGGCCCTCACCTGTGTCACTTGTATCAATTGTATCACTATCCACCACAGAGGCTTGCAGGGCCTCTTTGTCAAACTCCCCAAAGTCCATATAAGTCCATATCCTCACCATAATTATCACTATCACTGACTTGGGCCGGCTGTGGTGGGTGGGGGGTGAAGAACTGGTAATGTTTTGATGACTGGGCGACCTTGTGCGCACCATGTTCGCGCAGCTTACACAACATGGCGGATGGCGGGAAGTTTGGATCCAAAAATGGCGCGGCTCGCCAGCCGCTCTCCGCGTAAAGGGGTACACGCACCGCGGAATGTGAGCATCCTGGGTTCCGGCAGGGCACCGCGTAAACGTGGAAACGCGGAATGTGGGACCGCGTAAAGTGAGGGTTAACTGTATTTTACATCAGTTCTTACATCATAGTCCTAAACCTTTACTCATACACTATCACACTAATCATTTCTTCAAACAATTCTTGGACTATAATCTTGATGTAAATGATTCTTTCACCATAATCTTTGACTTCCCCAAGAGTTCTAACACCACAATCATGATTTATCAAATGTGAGGGATTTAGGAGTTTTGCATAGGGTTGATTTATAGTGCTCTCTTTTAAGTGTCTTATTATAATGGATGCTGACTGGCTTATTTTAGGATAAAACAAAGGTATTAGCACTGTATGCATTGAAAGACAAAACTTCCATTTGTCATTAGGAAAAGGATGTCCTGTACACAGTCCCTGATTTATTTAATGTAGTATTTTGTATATGATATAAAGTGGCACTATAGCTAAGTCATTGGGGCTGTGGACTATCAGTCCAAGAGAAATTATAAAATTCATAGCCTAGCAGGCTTGATGGGGTATTATTTAGTATGGTGTGCACTGACCTGCTTACTCATCTTCTCATTTCCCTTGGCTAATTTAACCTTTCTCACCTGGGGTTGACAACCTATAAATTATGGGAAACAGTGCAATGGAGGTTACTTCTTGATAAATGGTATGAAAATTCACAGGTTTTATTCCTGACCAAATTGGGGGATTGGGTTCCTTCCATGTGCAGTAGTTCTTGTGCATTCACTCATAAATGAGTATGGTATCAGGTGCACTTGCGTATGGTGAAACAACCCTTTGTTGGACTAACATCTTGCTAATGTGTAACACATTAGCTTCTGAATACTAAGAATCAGGTGATCAGCACTTACCTGTTATATGAACAAAAATTTAATTACAATACATTTTATCATCTTCATTTATTTCAGGGTTCCAGAGTCTGTGGCTATGATAGCAAACATTAACAAGCATATTAGATACATGCATGCATCTGTGGGGTATTTAAGAGACCAGTTGCAGGGCAACCCCAGGCTCTTACAGCTAGGGCAAGAGGTTCATTCTGTTTCCACTTTGGCATCACACTGTGGAGACACAATGAAATATATTCAGGGTTTTCATGAAGAGCTGAAGTTCTTTAAAAACCATCTTGATAAGGTAAGGTTATAAATGATAATGGAAAATGTTGTGACTAGTCTTATAGTATATCAGGAACAGAGAATGGATTCATATTTCTACCGCTTCAGAGCCACCTCATTAATTTCTGTAGCTTTGCAATCCCTTCTAAAGAACTTTGAGTATTTGATTCCATTGAATGTTGTTTGAATTACACTAACCCATTCTAAATGTAATTTAATGTGATGTATTGTCAGTTGTGTGAGGATCCTGACTTGAACCTGAATCTTGGGTTGGAAAATCTGTAATTTTCCCCTCCACTTGCACTCACTGTTTTTATAGTACGTTATTTTAGATTCAGTTAGTAACAGATGTTTATGTATAAATTTATTATATATTTAAATTCAATTCTCAAGCTTCTCATATCTTTTAAACTGATCCTCTGTTTTGTATATTGAGAAGTTTTCTCCCTTTCCACATTTTGTTGAATATGAGTTCTCCTTTTCTTTTGGCATGGAGGGCACTTAGGTTAATTCCAGGCATTAAACTAGCAATCTGCCTCCTGACTTTTATATAGGCATTGGTGGATTTGCTCCATTGTTTCTGGACGGACACATGCATATTTGCCCTTTTCCTCCTTCCCTTCTTTATTAACTATAACCTGCAGTGGAGTCTGGTTTGAGATCCCATATGCCAAATGGGGTTGATTCTTCACATAATGCACTTGGTCTTTCATTTTCTAGTGTATTCTTGTCATCCCAGAAGCTTTATTCAATGATTTAGATTCAGGTATATTAAGACTCATTTTTGGTTTCTCTGCTTGCATTCTATATATCAGGATCATCGAAGTAATATCTTAGGGCTTACTTCAATTTGATCTTATAAGGACTCATACATGTTTATGACTCCTGTATATTTTAGAGTACAGTTTGAGTTCTTATGATCAAATTTTCATGCACAGAGTAGGGGGTCGAACTATACACATAGTATTTTTGAGGGGGAGGGGTTAAAATTCATGCATTTCAATGTGACATTTACGGTGAACGATAGCTGCCTAGTACAGTGGTCCCTCGGTTAACAAGCACAATTCGTTCTAGAAGGTTGCTCGTTAACCAAAAACTCTTTAACCGAAACCATTATTTCAATGGGTTTTTGGGTAATTGGTTCCAGCTCACCGAAAATTGCCTAAATTCAACAAAAAAGGTAGAAAAGTACACTTACTTTGAGGTGTGTATGTAGAAGGCTCCTGGATGATGATGATGATGGGAATTAGAATGGGGGTGGAGGAGAAGGGAGAAGAGAAGGCATTGGGGTGGAAGAGAAGTCACCCCATGGTACCATTTCACCCATAAAATTTTAGTTCTCTTGGTGTAATTCAAGATTATTTTCTTTAAATCAACACTGCACTGCATTATATATTGTCAATATGTAAAATAGATTTCAAAATGACCAATAATTTGCTTGGAAACACAGAAAAAAAACGTTCAGTTGAAGAGTGTCAACCAAGATGTTACCTCCACTGAAAAGACACAGAGACTGACGCCTGTTTGGTGTGTTGACAGGCTATTTGGCATGCATAAAACTAGTTTCTGTACTTCAATTATGTTCAATAATTGTTAAAATGACTAAAAATTTTAATATTAAACTTTTAAAATTATTGAATAATATAAACTTCTTGATATTTACTAAAATAGTAAGGAATTTAAGCCCTAGAACCGATTACTGTATTGGCAGACTAATACTACAGCTGGTGGACTGCCAAATGCAAGTGAAAACATGTTGAGGTCAGCTCGTAAGAAACTCGTTAATTGAGGGATTGCTCATTAACCGAAGTTAAGAATCTTATGGAAGGTAGCTCGTTAACCGAGGCGCTCGTTAACCGAGGGATCACTGTACTTGCTCACAGTAGGCTAACCTTACCAGTAAGTTCCTTTATCCTGGGCTTATCTACGATACCTCTAGATTCTTTCTTTATGTAGCTGCATGAAGAGCAGAACCTCACTCACTATATATGCCACTTTAAATCTATAAACACCTGAAACGAATGAAGTCTTACAGATAATTTTCTTTTCATTTGCTGTTAACATCGCTGGCAGCAGTGTTGTCTAGTTAGACTTGTCAATGTACCCATATTCCTCTTGCCCTCTCCTTATCATGTGAGGTGTCATGGTTATTTTTAAAATCGTAATTTTGAGTTGGTATACATAATTTTAAGACTATGCATCTACCTTAGAAAGTCTTAGGAGACATTTGCAGTATTACTGCTTGAATGGTCATATGGCTACAACAGTGTCTATCCCAAATTTTACCTTTCAATTAGTATGTTACTCTGTAGCTCAGTGGTAAAGCAATTATCTCAGTAGGTTTACATGCAGGGGAAAGTAAAAGTAGTGTAATGATAGTGTGGTGATTTGTGTCCCACCATCGAATAGGTTTTTATGTTTTTATGTTTATGTGACCAAAGCACCTCTCATGAAAAGGACATTTTCTGAAATGTAATTCCTCCCATATGTAGTTAAGACCAACCAGTTTACTAATTCCACCATGGTGATAAGTATAACTGCCGTGTGCAGTATATCTTCAGTACATATAACCAATATTATGTTTGTTTTTTTACAGTAACAGCAGTAACTGTACAGTACTGTATAATGAATTTCCTAAAACTCATATCACCTCTTATCTTTGAATCTACAGTATGTGTATCCTGTGAACAGTGGTCTGTAATAACTAGGTGTTGATGGCCAGCAAACCAAGCAAATAATAAAGAAGTACAATACAGTCATTAGAGAGTTTTGTACAAAGAATAATGGGTTTGGCAGTTTGTCTCTGTAGTTCAAATGGTGTCTCTGAGTAATACTAAGATTTTCATATTACAGTTATCTGGTAATGCAGAGTATAGCCCTGCAGACCTTATTGTAGACTGTGCAGATAATGGCAGAGTGTGGCAACGACGAATTTTGGCATCCTTAGTTACGACAACAGCGATTGCTACCATTTTATGGTACTCACGACCCCATATCTTTGAAAGCATATTCAATATTAGAATGCCACAGAATACAGTCACCCTTGATGTTTAAAGAAGTTTGCCTTCATTTGTAATTCTCAGGAAAATTTTGATATACAGCATATCTAAATTGCAGTTTATTTTTCACAAGTACACATTAGAGTATGAGAAATTCAATACTGTACTGTATTGAACTGGAAGCAGTCAGCAAAAATATCATAGAAATGTTTACCTGTACTCCATACATAAGTAAAACTGTTTCTTAACAATGGTATTTCTAAATATATACCGTAGGTTAAGAATCAGAGTTCTTGCAACTAAGTAAAGTAATAAATTTATAGTATGTTGTAAAATTGCATCAGTCATGTTTTTATTGTTATTAACCCTTTTTTTTGTTGGGGTGAGGGGAGTAGATTAGCTGTTCACTTGATTTAATGGTTGAAGAGTCATTCCATATATGTTCCTTTTTTCAAAAATCAAAATAAATTTGTTTGGGCAGAATGATAATAAGTTATTTTTAATTAATCCGTTGTAAAGGTAACATTTTCTGAAGAATTCTGAATTCTGCTTGTTGGTTTGAATACCATAATACTGTACTTTACTGAAGCTCTTTCCATATTCCATCCTTCTCAAGACAAAAGACAGGTTATTCAATCAGCCATTGTAGTTGTATTATAGGTTAATTAATTACAGTACTGTACTGTATTCACTAACTGTACAGTAGGCTCTCATATTTGGACACCTATTTAGACTAAAAACCTCACGAAATTCAAATCTTCCAAATTTAAATACAACTTCCTATGGAAAAATTAATTTGAGTCTGGTACTTTCGATGTTTGGCTAAATTTTGCCTTATTTATCTTACTTTTTTGGCGAATTACTACCTGTAATAAAGCAACATCCTGATAAACCAACAAAAATAACACAGATAAAGTTAATTAAAAACTAAAAACAACACAGAAAAAGTTCTTATGTTCTACAGCTTCAGGTAGAGATGAACCTGATGACTTGGCAACTTCTTCATCCGAGTGAAAACGCACACAACAACATTGGCTGTCCTTATGTTTTCAACTTTACCACCATGGTGAGTAGAATTTTAGTTTTAAATTCAGAAACATTAATTAAAACATATATGAACAGTAAATAAGTGTTGCTTTCATATTCCTATGCAGAGTAATGACGATATGTTTTCTCATGTGCGCACTTACATACGTGAAGTCTCACTTTTTTCTTTACCATTAATGGTTAGCTACTTCTGTTGTTCCATTTATTAACATTAAATAACATTACTTAAAACAACTACAGGTATATTAATTATTTTACATTAATTTTACTACAGCTACAACCAGGGTCTTATTTTCTTCAGTTTTATATGTAGAACCAGTCAGTCACTGGTTTTGTAAACATTAACGAAAACAATGCCGTCTCGTCTCCTCGTGTGTTTTAATATTCTACGTATTATTAATTAATTGTATTGTTCATTTTGCACACTCAAACCCGTCGAAATTCGAGTTTCTGCCGTCAAAATTTGAAATGGTGTAGGTTTTTTTTGTGTCCAAATAAAAAACGTCGAATTAAAAACTCGCGAAATTTGAGAACCTACTGTAATATGAAGCATAAAGTCATCTTAACATATGAAATAGATTTATGAGTTTCTTTGGTTATTTTTATCATCAAGGTTTGAAAGACTGATGGAAAGAGCAAACAGGAATGGTTTAGGAACAAGATCAGTACAGTATTATGAAAAAAGTAGTTAGGAACAGTGTTGTTATTGACAAGATATGGATTTGAATTTTTGGAGTACAATTAATGTGTTTGAGTAATGCATTTTTAAACAAAATGTAAATTTTATTTTTCCAGTGGTTCAGTTAGGGCAGCCTGTGCTTTTTTCTCTTCTTTTTCAAATCTTTGTATCATTGCTGATATGTGAACCAATTTACTGTTTTGCTTTTTATAGTGAGCTGTTCCTATGAATTTAATTTTCTTCAGGCTGAGTGGAATTTTGGTGAATTCCGAGTCAAACAATCCTCTAGATCTAGAATGTGTAGATAGTATCCAAAGCTTTCTTTAAGACTGTATGGATTTCACAGAGTTAAAAGGATATTTTCATTTTTATTACATGTGCTATGTGTACCTAAAAAGAGGCAGGATATAAACCATTTTTTTTTATTATACAGTATACAAATACAGTACTACCTGTCCATTCGTGATAATAATTTGAAATTTATGGGTGTGATGAGTAGATCAGGTATGTTAGATTCTCTTACATATGCAGGCTTACAAATACCCTGTACTGTACAGTACTGAGGTTAACTGAAATATTAGTAATTTGAAAATTAAGTGTTTATAGACCTAGCACAAGAGTTATTACTTCTGTTTATTCTAGACTATAGTTTAATATTATATTTATGATGGAACTTATAGTACAAATAAAAACTTCCTTAATACATGTGTTTTTGCCTTTTCTGTATCCAGATTATCCTATAAACTCCTCTTACTGCTTTGCAAGATGTTGCATTGAAATCTTCTTATAATCTAATCTTGCAATACCCATTAGTTATTAATTTTGTCTTTTCTCTTTCAAGTTTTTCCTGCTGAATGCAGGGAAATGAGCAAATATACGAACATAGTCTCCTTTCACTCACTGTCATTCATTGATTCTTTCTGCTGTAAGATGTGTTGTGTTATGGTACAGTCTCTCTTTCAATAAAAGGGCCCAAATCTGGTTTCCTCTGTTGTTTCACAGAAACCAGTAATACCAGTCAGTAGCAAATCTTTCCCCAAAAATCACCCAACACCATGGTATCCTCTCATTCAGGCACATTGATGCTTCCAAAGTGTTCATTTCACTTAAAATCAATATTTTCTTCACTGAATACTGCACTCACTACAAAAAGTACCTGTAAAATATTTTGCTAGACAATAAGACACAACGGACAAAGGATTTTGACAACCCTACTGATACAACAGAAGGAGTTAGTGTGTTCATTTTGACATCCATTGGATCCAACCTTGCAGATACCTTCTGTAGCAAGTGTACGGCAATAACATCTTAAATTCTGTTTGACCGCATTACTTCATACTTTTAAAAAGGTGGTCTCATGAAATCATGTGACTAGATTATTGGCCTTTTTTATCTGTATTTGTTGTTTAAAAGTTGGCCTTTATTCAACGTTGCAAATCTGGCAACCCTGCACAGAATTCAGTCTGCACTGGGTGCTTAGAAAAGGACACATGGGCCACAACGGGGCTAAAAAATAAGAGTAAAAAAAAATTAAAAATAGAAAAGAAAAATATTATATTAATCTACACCATGAAGATGCTGGAAAACCAGGTTTTTGAAGTGAGACATTGTATGAGTATGGAAACACAAAATAAAGCAGAGCATTCCACAGTTTGACTGTGTGAGGAAAGAAGATGTACTATAATGGGTTATTCTAGGGTGACCGACATCCACACAGAAACAGTGGGCACCGCGGGCAAGACGAGTGTTACGAGCCCATGGCCTTGCCGGCGGTACACAGGATGCCATATCCACCGAACATTGTGTTTTGAAAACGAAGGTAAGCACTGGGAGGCTTTATTCAACTTAAAGCAACATCAGTATCCATAGATCTGTAATAAGCAGAATAAACAGGAATTACAAATTAAGAATGATTAAGCATCAAGTAACAGAATTGGCTTAACACATAAACATAACGTAACATAAGAAATACCTGTATAAGAGAACTTCAAACAATATAATCTAGAGCACTTAACCACCTAAGCATAACACATCATTCACCCCTGCTTTTAAAACAACCCATCAGCATACAATTACAATGCTTAATTGCCCGGATAGGACTGCATATGTCTGGAATGCAATGGACGATGGGGATGGGGCTGAGTTGGCGATGCATTTGGCTGCCGATTTCCCTCATGGTCCGCCATTTCCAGTTGCTCGTCTCTCTCAGCTACCGGGTGTTCATTGAGACATTCATCTAAACTTTGTATAAGAACACTTTCATTGCTGGCCTTGTCTTGATGTGTCTGCGCCTGATTCAACACCTTTGGGTGGCGCGAGATGGGGCAGATGACACTGGTTTCTCCTCCGTCTGGAAATCTGACGCTCGCATATTGCAGATTAACATCAAGTAATTCCACCTCGTCCACCAACGGATCATATTTACTGTAATGTACTTGGCGCTTGAGATACACAGTCTTTTGAGTCGTTAACCAGGTTGGTATTACCCTCCTACTGGCTGATCTCCGTTGGTAGCCAAACATCCATTTGTGCGGAGTGGTATTAGTGGCAATTGACAGCAGTGATCGAATGCAGTGGAGAGCATCCATGAGGACATCTTCCCAATGAGTAGTAGGTAGATTTCTGGATTTCAGCGCAAGTGTCACCATTCTCCAGATGATGCCGTTTTAGCGCTCCACTTGACCATTACCCTGGGGGTTGTAGGCGGTGTGCCCGACTAGTGGCAACTGCACGCTTAAGCAAAAACTGCTTCAGTTCGCCCGACATGAACAATGCTCCACGATCGGATTTAATGAAGGCTGGCATGCCAAAGATTGAGAATTACGAGCAGAGACATTTTATCACAGTGTTTGTCGACAGATCAGAGCATGGGAAACTTGAATATTCATCGATTATAGTAAGTAAATACCGATTTCTTGTCTTAGAAGGAAGAGGTTCCTTGAAATCAACATTCAGCCTTTCAAAAGGCTGAGTAGCTTTTATGAGAGTACCAGAGTCTGATCTGAAGAATCGCGGCTTAAGTTCCAGACATGTAGGGCAACTGGCAGACATCGCCTTTATGTCACTGATAGAGTATGGTAGATTTCTGCTCTGTACAAAGCGCTTCATCCTTATAATGCCCGGATGACATAAATTATTGTGAAGAGTCTGCAGATCATCTTAAGCAGATACCAAACTGCATACACGTGAGAATGCATCCATGGTGGCATTTTCTTTGCCAAGACAATAGACAATGTCATAACTGTGTAATGACCACGGTCAGACATGTCAGTTAAAATAAAATCAGACGATTCATATTATGCTCAATAGCCCACAAAACATGTAGCTAAGCTTTCTTTATTGAGTCCCCCCATCTGAGGCGTCGGTTTTCTCATCGCTTCAGGACGCCTGAGTCCTCCGTTTTCCCTAGCTTAGGTGCCGTCCATTTTCTCTGACTTCCTGAAACCAACCTTTCTATAAAGTAAATTTGAATGTGAGAGAGAAGACCATTGCTTTGAGTCAACTTAGATATGTCTGATTACAGTTAAAGCATTCACGATTCTTTGTGAGTGATGTTGAAAGCTTCAACTGTCTTTAATGTTAGTAACACTTGTCAAGTAAGTGAGTGTCGAGTCTGCCAGTACGAATAGCATCCCATGATAGCGTCCTTGGGGATAGCCATGAATTTCCAATTGCTACTGAAGATTATTTTGATGCCCAAACCTCACAGAATCTGATATTTGTAGTTTGATTATTGTCAGTTGTCTATTTAAGAAAGTACGGTAATTAATCTCCTGAAAAGAATATGTCACACTCTTATCTCCAAGATCTTAACGTATACCCATAGAGGGTCCATGTCTAGAAATCCCGCCGATGTTGTGAGAATGACGTTAACAGCGTGTGTATTTGACGTCCATTTCACTTTTCCTGACAAGCTCAATCTCTGAATAGATTATAAAAATAGACGTAAGAAATTCACCTGACCCATGGCATTGATTATCATAGTTAAATGTACAGCAACTGAGTTGAATGTAATTTATGTCATTGCGTGATTACCCCTTCTGGCAGTGTAGTGCACAGGCCTGAGTTGCCAGTTAGCTGTATATAAACTCGTGTACAAGGAGCAGCGTCACATCTCTAACGCTGTTCCATCATATCTCAGGTATGTGTATGTTCTCACGCCCGCCATATTAAGTCAGTTTAACTTAGTGAATTTTGTGAATATATCAGTGTTTATGTTGTAACAGTTAGTTTTAGTTTAACAAATTTATTGGCAGAG